TTGATAAGGCAATTTTATACTTTGTAGGCTTACAGTTTAGGCTCAATAAAAGATCACCTCACCGATGCTCTTCAAGTAGATTTTGCAAACAAGTATATTGGAGGTGGTGCACTTCATAGGGGGTGTTTGCAGGTAAAATTTTCTTGTTAAATGTTTAGATTCTAGAGTCCTTCATGGTTCGTGCCTAATTAGGTATTTTTCATCACCTATATTTCAGTTTATTTTCCAAAAAATTGTTCCTTAGGCATGCATGCCTTCTTTTTTAGGTTGCTTTCCTGCACTATGTATGTCTTCATGTATTAGCTTAGGCGTTTTAATTGATTCTCATCCTTTCATTATTATACTTAAATGATTAAAGTCTTTTGTATCCCTAAAAATTGGCTATATCAAGCATATGTACAAGAATTATTTTTAATCGACTTGTGTTGTAGTTAATTATCTGATCATTGTATCATCTTTACATGGTGTACGTATGCCTCGTCATTTCATTTTTCTGGTGATAATGTGGATAAAAGGAATGTTGATGTTTTTTGAAAACGTAAAACGAGGATAATTGCTATAGATGCATTATGCTGGCCTGGAAGGAAATAATATGCGCTAAAATACCTCCTTCGATATGTAAATTTTTGTTTTGAACCTCAAATACACAGGACAAATTAATTAGAGAATACATGTCAGTTTCATTAGAAACCTCAAATTGGTCTAAATATTCATCCAAGTTACTAATTTGATGAGTGATGTCGCTCTCAAGTCACATCTTGCATACTTCATCTAGTTCAAAGGACTTTCTTTCTTTCTTATGGGTTTATGCAGTTTGTTCCTATATCTAGAAGGATTAGACACAAGACAAAAGCAAAAAGGGTTTATGCCATCTCATTCTTTAAAATTTGCAGATTTTTTTTCTTTGTTAGTCAAATATTATTATGTACTTCAACTTGTTTCTTTTGATAGGGAGACAATCGAATTTTTTCAGACATGTTGGACTAGCTTTTCTAATTTGATGGACTGTTATTTGAAGTTCTGTAAATGTAGAATAAATTGATCTAGCTTCTGTACAGTGAGTTGTCAGTTTTTGAAACAAAAGGATTCTCTAGGGATTGTGACTGGGGATTGGGGATGTGGTGCTTTTTGGGGAGATCCTAAGCTGAAGGCCATAATTCAGTGGCTTGTTGCTTCATAGGTAATAATTTGTTGTGAGGTGGCAATTGATTTATGCCCATGTGGAAGTCAAAGTTTAATTGGGCAGTCAAAGTCATTTTTGCTAAAGCAAAGGGGCAGTTCTGTCAAAACTAATTTTCAATAAACCTAATTTAAATTAGGTTTTGCTCATTTTTCATTTCTCTCGAGTTTTCTCTCTTGGTTAACAGAGAGAGAAAAATTTGTTACAAAATGTTGGATGCGCTGGAGTTTCGAAGAGCGTTGATGGAATCAACGGTAGTGGTAGGTCTTAGCTGGATTGTTTTTCTGTTTTCCTTTTTTGTATAAATCTGTACTAATGCTTGGTTATTTGGTGTGTGGTGTATGAGAGGTGTTGAGATCTGGGTTTATAGAGGGGTGTGTGCACTGTGTAAAGGGTGAGCGTATCTCTGTAAGATTCTCTTATTCTCATAGTGAAAATCTGCTTATTGCCCTGGAGAGTGGATGTAGGTAATCTATAAGATTACCAAACCACTATAAATCTCTGTCCCCTTTACATTNACTCCCAACCAAACACCGCTTTGGTAGCGTTTGGTTTAGGGAATATTGTATTACTAACAATGCTATGTTAATGGAAATATAGAATATTACCTTGAAGATTAATAGGGAATGTTATATTAATATGTTTGGTTAGATTGGTGGGTATAAATAATTAATTTGTTTGGTTGGGAGGAATAAAAGATTATCGAAGAGGCTTTTACTGAATTGCCCTTCCTTTTTAATAATAATATAATTTTAACTGAGAATTTAGCTAAAACACCCTACACAACAAAAGTTTTAAATTTAACAAAATACCCATATCCACCCAAGACAACTACTGGCTGTCGTTGACAATCGTCGGAACAGCGCACGATTATCGAACTAGTCGTCACGGCCACAAAATTAAACCTAAATACCGCAGTTAGTGGTAAGCAGGGTCGAATCCATAAAGAACAAGACCATCGACCTAATGTATATTTAAGTTAACAAAAGAGAAATTGGAAAATGATTGATTAAAACTAAGGAAACTAATTACTTACAGGAAATTAAAAAGCATCAAATAAATTGCTAACTAAAACACAATATTAAAAGCGTTGCCGCAACGGGTTCGATTTGACTCAAGACCAACTCTCACAATTCCTCTCCTCGCTCTTCAATTTCCTAAACCTACAAGGCTAGGCAAATCAATAAAAATATCTCCCGACAATCTAGGAATAATCTATCCTATCTCCCTGTCGTCTTAGTTACAGATCGATTGGTTAAAAACTATCATCGACTACCGAAAAACGCTAAACCCTTAAACACCACTAGTTGGTACAACGTTAACAAGTACAACATATCAACGTGTATCATCCAATCAACTAATTACACAACAAATGCATTCCTAGTAGAAATGATATTAAACGCTACTACAACTTGATTGCAATTAGTACCGAAGAAATTTAAAGTCATAATCAACATTCAATAATCTCAAACCGACATTCAATTATGCGAAAAGTTATATATCAATAAACATTCTCAATGGACATTATCAATTTAGCACGTCGAGCATCAGAATAATATTGAAGCATCGCAAACAAACTGAAACGAAAACAAATATAATCTGAATACAAGAAACTTAACCAAATGTCCAACATTCGGGCTCATCCAACTAGTCGAGAACTGATGAGGAGATCAATGGAGTCAATCTCGATCTCGCCTACACTGTAATAGAGAACCGGGAACTCAACTGATCATGGCGGAGAGGAAGTAACCGACAGCGATATGATGCGAAGAAGGGGCCAAAACGACCAATGGATAGCCTGAAATACGAACAGTTGCACTCACCGGAAAACGTTAATTTTTCGGCAGGTCTTCCAGAAAATGGTGGCGGAAATGGGATCCGAAGGTACCGATGGAAAGCTCTGGTGATGGTCAATTCAAATCAGGTCCTGGGAAGGTGAAAGGTTGCTGAAAATGAGCAAGATCTCGGCTGGAAGATGAAGAAGCGCAACGACAAGATGGCGGATTCCGGCAGTTTTTGTGGCGGCTAAAGCGTGGAAGTGCTAGATCCGGCCGTGGGGAAGGAAGATCAAGTCTTAGGGAGCCCAAACATCGTTAGAAAATGGCCCAACATGGCTGGAATGCGAAGCGTTGCCAGAAAACGCGGCGTGATTTGCGATGGAGATGCGTTATCACGGTGGTGATGACGGGATGGTAATGATCTGTGCACGAGGAAGACGAACCGTCGCCAGAGAAGCTTGTCGGAATCTGATCGGAGAAGGTGAAGGGTTTTGGTGGGCGGCAGCCACCCAATCTGCGACCAGGAGCTGCAGTTTTATACAAAATTTGGAAAATTACCATTTAGTCCCTACACATTTGAAAGTGACAAAATCAACCCCAAGATTATGACAATTTGACCCCTGAATGGCATAAATGAGACAACATCAACCCTAGAAAATAAATCACATCCTAATATCAACTTACACAATCTCAAATTTCAATCCAAACATGCCAAATTAGTAAGAAAAACTCAAAATATGATTTTTAAACATAAATTCATAATTTCTCTTAATTGTCTCAATATAACTTCAATTCAATTACACATAGGGTCTTTTTATCACTAAAATAGAGTCACTTTCATGACTCTAACAACGATCAGCCAAATTTGGTCGGCCGTGCGTCGATCTGGCTGAGCTTTCGGCTAGATCGATGTACAACTAGCCAAATCCGGTCGATCGTGTGCCATTCCAGCGACTGCCTACGGCAGCCGATGGTCGACAACCATCTTGGGTGGTTGTGGTGTTTTGGGTATTATTGATGTAAATAGTGAGGGGCATTTCTATCCAAGAAATTAATTTATGATGTTACAGAAGTCATTTCACATATTTGGGTTAATTGTTATTTTGTAGACATATGAGGGCATTTGTGTCTAAAATGTTTATTAATTTAGGGTAAAATTAGTATGAACAGTAGACTACCCAGGTAATAAAAAAATAACACCCTTTCAGTCGGTAATCGGATTACCCCCATATTACCTATAGTAATCACTATTGGCATTGAAAGTCTACCGAAATCTTTTATTACTTGACAACCAAACATGATAGTGGCCGGATTAAAAGATAAATTACTGAAGTTATCTTTCATTATCCCGAACCAAACACTACCTATAATGTAATTTAATATGACTCATTCCTCAGCTTAATTAATTCTATAACTATAACAAAAAGTCTTTAATATTAATTAAGACAAATCTCAAAAGAAGGAGATCAATACTCTGAGTTTCATCTAGAATTGTTTTGATAAAACTCGATAGAACGAGAGAATTTATTAATAAAAAAAACTAAAAAATTATCTTGAAATTTGGACTTTAACATAGTTATATCAAGAACCAAGCTATGATGGCTCAGCATCAACATTCTCTGCTTCATTTTCTTTGGCGGAAATCCTTTGAATATTCCCTGAACCTTCTACTTCAGACGAATCTCCACCAACATGATCCATTTGAGCTATCTGAATTTCAGATTTATTCCCATTGGAAGGCTGAGATGAAGGAAATGTTTTGCTAAATATTTGAGCCAGTGCAACTGCAGGTTTCTGCCAAATATAGCTTTCTGAGATGAGGAGAGCCAACAAACTGAGAGTCCCCACAATGATGAAGAGGCCTCCAAAACTATAGGCGTCAAGACTAGAATTGTCTGTGGAGATTGGAGGAGTTAGATCAAGAGATATAATTTTGTGCCCAAAATACTGTTTCTCAATGTTGTCCATTATATTTCCCTGCTCCATGACTCTTAATATCGCCCTAGAAAAAGAAGAAACCAAAGGGGAATCTCTTGGAAATGCCTAGAAATTAAAAATAAAATTAAAACATTGTTATTGAAGTATGATGTATTCAATTCAATAATTGGTTTAAAGAGAGAGATTATGCACTTACAAAGCCAAATCCATCAGTTCTATAAGTTGGCCCAGCCATCATATAATTTGAACTATACTTTTTGTTTGCAAGGAAAACCCTGATGTAGGGAACTTCATCGAAGATGGCAGCAACACCTCCATTTTCGCTTCCTTTCGACAAGGCCTCATGATATTCTTGTACTTTCCCATAGTGCCTGAGCTTAGTCTCGTTGAATTTCAATTGTTGGACTAATAAATCTTTTACAAAGGAATCAGATTGGTATCCAACATAGTAACCTTTGCTTTGCAGCTCTTTCACACTAACAATTTTTGGCTTCAATTTATCTACTGTCAGGACAGAAGATAAGCTTGCTGTGTAACTTTGCATCAGGATATATGCCGCACATAACCATATGACCAGCACAAACCTCGAGGAGCCCTTGGCCACCAGCTCTTCTGTTACATACAGTTTAAGAAAACCATCACTACTGGAAAAGTTTAATGCACCGACTCCGCTCTCTGACACCAGGAGCCTGTGTCGGAATGTACACATTAAGCCAACACCTAGTGGCGTTGGCGGTAAATAGACTTCCACGGCGCACATTGCACCGGCGTACCCGATTTCTTCCCACACGGGTGTGTTGGCGTCAGGCCACCCAAATGAACTTAGGTAAGTTTCAGACCACTCCAACCCAGTTTTCCAACGCTGGCAAATATTGACACCAGCTTGGCGTTGGGGACTTGGGGTATAGTATGATATTCTTTATTATGAGAGAAAAACTTACGTAAAACAGTCTTCCTACCTCACTTGACTGATGCAGTGAAACCATCCAATAAAATAAAGAAATGTATGGTTAATTTTCAAAATTGCAACTTATGATAGTGATTATTTATGAATGATAATTGATAGTTATTCATTAATATGGTGATGGGTGGGTAAAATAAAAATTTTGACAAATATGAGAGGACACATCACACATGTTTTTATATTTTTAAATAATCTTCCCTCGTCAAATAAATGAAGTTGTGAGATTGTCTCATATAAGTATTTATTTTATTATAAATGTTAATTTAGCTCATGTATTTTGTAGAGATAAATACCAAGGACTTTTTTTAATTAATATACTGCATCTTTTAGTATTAAGTTGAACTAAAAGATTAGTGCACTATAGTCATTTAATTGAAAAGGACCAAGATTACTAATGAAAAGGGTAAAGAATGTTTACTTTCAGGAAGGGTCAGAGCATAGAATGGAAGACATAAGATCATGCCGAGCTGTCGATTAAGTGGCCCTCCAAGCTCTGTGTTATTATTACGGTGCTCCAGAATTCGTAAGACAAGCCCTATGAAGATGCAAGTAGCAATGGCGGTTAACCAAAGATCCAAGCTCCAAGGTTGTTGAAAGAAAATCCAAATGGTTTTGCTTTTATCATGTTTAACTGGAACAAGCATGGTCACTCCTGACTCCGAATATGGCAATGTGAAATCAACATAATACGTCCGGTTCGTCACAATCGTTGTATCTCCCACCACAGCATGAACCTTCTATATATTCAATTATTACAATAAATGTCAAATGAGTTCAATGTGTTAAATTGTCATTCCACTTTAAAACTTAAGTTAGTAGGTAAGAACTCAACATTAAACTTGAAATTTTTTCATTTTTCTTTTATCAAGTTGAATGTGGAGATTCAAAGTTTAGACCTTTGACTCTGATACTTTGCTAAATTATCATCCTACCTAGAATTTTAAGCTAGTAGGTGAACGCTCGTTAATAAAATAAAGTTTTCGAAAAAGATACATAAGAAATGAGATTGCTGATTAACTAACCTTTTCCTCAATCTGCTGGAGAAGATCATCATAAGTTCCATTCATCCCACCTGTATCATTCATGAAGGGAACAAATTCATAAGAAATCTTGAAATCTAATGCGTTCAACACAGCTCGGAAAACATCTATGCAGAATCCTGAGAAAGTCGTCTCGTTTGTATGGCGATCCTTATGCATCTTAACAAACTGTTTGAAACCTTCTTTCACTGGAATCCCTACCTTTAAATTAGGAATAGCCCAACCTTTAGGAATTGTTGTGGAGTCTCCAGGCCATATAATCTTTTTCAAACCGTTGCTAGACGAAGTTGAAACTAATTTTTTAGTTAATCTTTTATCAGGCGTCCAGAATCCAACTACTCTTACTCCTTTTCCAGCAATCACATTGATTATTTCAAAGGGTGAAGTAGTTTTCAGCTGTCCATTAACCAAATGAAATTCCCCACTCAATCCATTGAATTTGGTGTTCAAGATTTCACTGAGAAGTCTTGGACCAATTTCGGAAGTTCCTAATCTTTCAAAATCTGTTGAAGTGTTTGTTCTAGTGTTTAAGAAGCTAGAATTTGTTAGTTCAATCTTCTCCACAGCCATGGCTAATGCCCAAATTGTATCATATGCCCACAAACAAAAAATGCTAATCTCACTCACCGAAATGTTTGGCTTCATTGAAAGGAGATTTCTTTTTAATCGCATTGTAAAATTTTCAACATCTTTGGACTTGGGAACATAAGATCTTATGCCTAATACGCCTTCCATTGAATCAACGTTCTCGGTGTCCATAGCATTCATTGAGTTGGATAAGCCAGTTGTGACGATCCATACATAACCTTCACTCATCATTCCTGCCTTATCCGCAAGTTCAAAGAGACGAGATCCCATGGAATTATTAGTCATATGCACTATGAAAACCCTCGTTTGCATTGTCTTCAACCTCTTTAACTCTCTTGAAATTTCAAAATCTTGAGCTGAAGGAGAAATTGGACTCATGTGAGCTAGCCGAATATCAATCTCTTGGAATGCGTCGACTAAATAAGAAACGATTCCATTACCATAATTAGTGTCTTCATACACAACAACTGCTTCGTACCATTGGTATGCTTGTAAAATGACTGTAATAGGTTTTACTTGAAGGGATTCATCTTGGGCAGCTCGAATGAAGAGAGGGTTTTTGGTGAGAGAAAGAGTAGGGCTTGTTTGGAAGAAAGAAACTGTTGGTACTTGTGATTGTTCTCCTAGCTTTACTACAAACGGAGCTGCATCTGATATTTGTGGCCCTAGAATGGCATGTACTTGAACATTCTTTAGTAAATCCACAACTGCATGCATTTGCAGAAACAACAAAATTTGAGTAATAAAATAGGAATCAATTGTAAGATAAACATATCTGTATTATAACCTGGACATAGTACTGTTAGTATATCAATGGTGTATATGGCAGCAGACAAGTTAGCTAATACAGGTCTATAGTGTTCTACTTTAAATTGGTGGGATTCTCCCTTTATGAGATTATCAGTATTCTCCATCATCAGCGTTAAGCTATTGATTACCGATTTAGTTGATATACCTTAGTTTATATGTTAATTGTTTTTGCTTCAACTTGTATGTTAGGATCATGCATTTTGTTTTGGCATCCTTTAATCCTATTGTTAATCTAGTAATAGACATTTTTTTGAAAAGCAAGGCTCAACATATCTTTAGATATGTTATATTTTTTTCCCTTTTTCTTTCTAATCTATTTCCTTGTCCCGCCAAGGTTCATATAAAAAGAATTAGTTACTTTGTTATATGAAAAACTTGTGCGGCTCTCAGGGGCAGGAACGGAGGGACGGGGGAGTCAGTTGCCCCTAAATAAAAAATAAATTACAACAAAACTTCAATCCATCAAATAAGTTAAAGTCTCATTTTTCTTTTTGGACTATCAAAACTAAACCCCTCCTCCTTTCTTTCCTAGACCAGTCTTTCTCTATTGCTCATAATTGATTCAACAACTAAGGTTTCAAAATTTTTCTAAATTTCTAATTATTTATCCACACAAATGTAGTTTTCTCCCACCTAGCAAACCGACAAGCCCATTTTTTCTTCAATTTGTCAGGTAATACTAATATATTTTATATTTATATTTTTTTTATTTTGATTGTACTGTTCTTCCAATTTGTCAGGTAATACTAATACATTTTATATTTATTAGATAATATATATTCTTTTATTTCTAATTCTTTATCTACACAAATGTTTATTTTAATTTAAAATTATTTTGTTCTTCCTACTTTGACTATCCTATGTTTCATTTCTGGTTACGTCCTTACTAAGCGGTGTTGAGATAAAAGAAGAATTGCTGAACTGCTCAAAGTTGATGAAAGCAAATGTAGCAGGAGGAGTTTGAAGTGCAGAAATTCAGAACTGTTAGTCTGTAACTGTGTAAAAGTTAGTCAAAGACTCAAAGCCAACTAACTCTTTTGCTAACGGAAGTGGACGTGAGATGCTTTAAGTTAAGAAGCTGCTGAAAGGAACTAACGGAGTGCCTAGTCGTCAAAGTTCGTCAGTTTACTTATAGAGAATGATGTCGTTATAATAACAACGTTGAAGCTGCAAAATGAAAGGAAGAGAAGCAGGATCGAAGCTAAAGGAATAACACACTGATCTTACGGCTATTAAGCTACCATTTTGTGTTTGTTACTGATAATCCAATGGCTAAAATGTGTAGTGTTGGACAATCACAAGGATACCTAGACAGCTTGATTTGTATATAAACACTTGTACTCTGCGTTTTGCAAGAAATAAAAGCTTAAGTCAATTTTCTCCAATTTTTCAGTTTTTTTTCCTAACTTTTTCTAATTTATACGCACCTCAACTAATTTTCAGAATCCATTAAACATCTTACAAAGCCAATAATAAACCACAAATATTGTAAATGGCAATTTGATACGACTCGAGCACAAGACTTCTGATTAATCTAAAGTTTTTCAGATTTTATTCAACATTTTTAACGGTTAAAATATTATAATATTTATAACTACCAAATCCACGCCATTCAGTCTGCTATTTCATTTTAATCTATTGTAACTCTATTATAATATTTATAACTACAAGAAATAAGCCCTTAACTGGATTTTAATCTAATGTAATGTTATTATAATATTATCACTTCTCTCGCTTATTTATTTATCTTTTTGGCTTGTTTGAAAATTCTTACTCATCGTCATCGTTTTATAACTACGAGATCCATGCCATTTAGTCTACTATATCATTTTAAAAGAGTTACAGGGTCAATCAGATCCCGTTTCTGAAAGATCAAATCAAACAGTCGGTAGTGCCTTGTAGAATTAAAAGTATATATCAAGGGACAAAAAGAAAAAGAATTTGGGATTGTATGAAAATTATCAAGGAGAAATATTGGCGTAAAAATTATTNGGCTATTAAGCTACCATTTTGTGTTTGTTACTGATAATCCAATGGCTAAAATGTGTAGTGTTGGACAATCACAAGGATACCTAGACAGCTTGATTTGTATATAAACACTTGTACTCTGCGTTTTGCAAGAAATAAAAGCTTAAGTCAATTTTCTCTCATTTTTCAGTTTTCTTTTTCTAACTTTTTCTAATTTATACTCACCTCAACTAATTTTCAGAATCCATTAAACATCTTACAAAGCCAATAAACCAAATAAACCACAAATATTGTAAATGGCAATTTGATACGACTCGAGCACAAGACTTCTGATTAATCTAAAGTTTTTCAGATTTTATTCAACATTTTTAACGGTTAAAATATTATAATATTTATAACTACCAAATCCACGCCATTTAGTCTGCTATTTCATTTTAATCTATTGTAACTCTATTATAATATTTATAACTACAAGAAATAAGCCCTTAACTGGATTTTAATCTAATGTAATGTTATTATAATATTATCACTTCTCTCGCTTATTTATTTATCTTTTTGGCTTGTTTGAAAATTCTTATTCATCGTCATCGTTTTATAACTGCGAGATCCATGCCATTTAGTCTACCATATCATTTTAAAAGAGTTGCAGGGTCAATCAGATCCCGTTTCTGAAAGATCAAATCAAACAGTCGGTAGTGCCTTGTAGAATTAAAAGTGTATATCAAGGGACAAAAAGAAAAAGAATTTGGGATTGTATGAAAATTATCAAGGAGAAATATTGGCGTAAAAATTATTTTGACGGTATAATAATTCACAACTAGAAGCCAATAAATATTGCCTACTATGTTCAAAAATCTAGAAAAAACTGTAGATGAAGGAATCTATATATAATATATTTAGACACAACCAACAATAAATAAATGAATGAATGGAAATTATTGCATAAACAACACATTACACTTAACTAGATATTAACACATATTTTTTTCAGTTGATATGTTCCAAATTTATCAGGTAATGTATTTACAGGTACTTGTACCTGCTGAAGCCGTGTCAACGAGATCCTTGGAATTCCTAGTGTGAACAATCAACCTGGTTTGATAATCAGAATGCGTGGCATAAAAATCAGCGATGGCTATTGATATGGAGACTTCAGCTGTTGCACCCTCGGCTGAGTCTAAATCAAGAATAGCTCCAATCGGTACATTAATTTCTGCAGCTCCTGAATGGATTCCGACGACATGAATCGAAAGAAGGAACGACGGAAGGAAGAGAAGAAGGAACCTAGAGCGTACCATGACAACAAAGGTTTGCATGAATGAGAATGAAGAATGTGTTAGCTATAGGTTGAGTAAATCCAGCATTTATAAAGTTAATTAGGGAAGTCATGGCTTGGTGTACATGAAAAGATAACAGTATGGTACTCAAAATATTTATTAAAAGTTATGTTAGATAAATTTTTCAATAATCAACGAATTGACTTTGTAAAATTAATAAGAAAAAGAATTGATAGCTCGAGGAAGGAGCAGCAAGTCAGAGCAATGTATTAATTTATGAAAGAAGTGATTGGATGAAAACAGCTAGTCAGCTTCCAAAGTCATGGGTTATGTTAACTTCTAACAAACGGAAATGACTTTGTCAATCATTTATTTCTACAAGCATTTCCTCGAAATGAATTTAATCTATTCTTGGGGTGGACTGGATTTATAAATTTCTACAAGCATTTTCTCGAAATGAATTTAATCTATTCTTGGGGTGGACTGGATTTATAAATTAACTCATTTTTAACTTACAGACTTATTAAAATTTTCAAACATTCATCTCATTGGGTATCAAAAAGTCGCATTTTACAGTTGAACTTATAACCAATGATTCTTTTACATGTAATCTTCTATAATAATATTTTTTCTTTAATTACTTTTTTCTTTTATAAAAAAAAATATATACACTTTTATTAAAATAAATTTTTCTAATGACTCTCCATTAAAATATCAAGAAAACCCCAAAGGATCGGCCTCGTGGTCAAGATGTTTGCTCCCTTCTTTGAATTTTTGTTTCAAATCTTGGGGTTACCTAATTTCTTGGACTTGTGGGGTGTTCAGTGAACCTCGTAGATTAGTTAAAGTGTGTATAAACTGGCCCGAATACCCTGGTTACCAAAAAAAAAAAAAAAAAGAAAGATATCAAGAAAAAGAGGAGCAATATGTTATAGTATTTTTAAGACTTGAAATGTGAGGGAACCCGACCATCGTCGATAATTTGCAGTGAAAAAAAAAAAAAAAAATTGGCTGAATTTTGGCTGTTTTATGAAAAATGCTCAGTTGAGAGATCTAGGTATTGCAAAGAGAGTCAGACAATATTACATGATCCTAATTTTATGATAATTAATGATCACCACCAAGAC